ATTGCATATTAAGCTTAATCCCAATTCATGCTTTAGGCCCATAAAAACTAAATATTAGCCCAATTTCATAAGAAGCCCACATTTTGGCCTGGAACTAACAAAAGGATAAAAACCTGTTGGATTATGATTGATTCTAATAATTAAGAACCTGTTGAAGTCTCGCCGACTTCTACCAAATCTCTCGGAGGAGGAACCGGAGCTTTATCGAGGAGGAGAAGAAGGTACCAGAGAAATCGAATAGATAAGATTCGAAACCCAATTTCATAAGTCTTCTTTCCACCTTTTTTTTCTTTTTTTTTTTTTTATTTGAAATCTGTTGAAGGATTTTGATTCTTTGGGACTATATCGATTGTCTTGTTTTGTTTGAGTACCAAATTGTTACATAGTGAATTCTTCAAGGACTATTTAAATACAAATTGCCAGGGAGCACCGGTGAAATAGGAAAAAAACTCGAAAACCCTTTTACGGCTCTTTTCGTGTTGGTTTCGGCGGTGGACAGAAAGAGAAGATGAACCGCCCAGCTCGAGAAGACGACGATCAGGGTGAGGTTTTCCTCCACGAATCGGATATCATCCACGAAGTCACCGTCGACGAAGAAGGTCTCTTCTCTCTCCACTTGGATGTGTACAGTTTCCTCTTATGATTCTTAAAATTGATATCTTTCCTTTTCTGGGGATTCAGATCTTCCTGACGTTGAGGATGAAGAACACTCCGACTCTGAAAATATGGGTGTCGACGGTATGTATTGTTTTGGAATTGAATATTTCGTCTTTATGGAGCTAATTACTTCTTCTAATTTCTCTGCTGTTTTGCAGAGGAAGCTGATGACTCAATGCACATATTCACTGGTCACACTGGTAAATTTCTCACATTTTTTCTTAGAAAAAGGAAAGTGTGAAACTTTTTAATTTTCTTTGTTCAAATTATGCTCTTTTTTTTTTTTTTTGCTCTATTTATCAAGGAGACTACTTGCACTTATTTATTAACTAACAGGGGCTCAGTTTTTTGATATTAATCTTTTTTTTTTTAAGAAACAAAAGAGCTTGACATACCTGTATTATATTGTATCTTTTACAAGTTTCTTGCTGTTTGACAATATTGAGTATGCATACTGCATTATGTCTTGTGAGGAGAAATGATATAAGGTGCCATTTTGATTGATATTTTAAAGCTGATGTAGATTTGGAATACAGAAATAACTTCAAGTTTGATATTTTAGATTTCAAATAGAACTCAAACAAATAATTAAAACTTTATGCTCCTGCATCAAAGTTTCACAGTGAATTGTTTCTTTTGAAAATCAATATCGATTGTGTTATTGTGCTGGAATTTGAAGATCCTCACTTTCTCTCCACAGGTGAGATTTATGCAGTTACTTGTAGCTCAACACATCCTACACTAGTTGCAACTGGTGGTGGAGATGATAAAGGGTTTCTTTGGAGGATTGGTGAAGGAGATTGGGCTTCTGAACTCCAAGGTACACAGGTCCAAAGCTGGCATTGTATACTCTCATTCTAGACCTTAGCCTTTTGCTGTATTCTTCTGTTCATGCCAGAAGTTCTTTCCAATCCTAATTAGTAGAAGGAATAAAGAAAAAAAAAATGTTTGAGGTTGATGCCTCAATCTTAGTTTCATTCTTAGTAACTAATCCTCTTTAGAATTTTTGTTCAGGTCATGGAGATTCTGTCTCTAGTTTAGCCTTTAGTTCTGATGGGCAGCAGCTTGCATCTGGAGGGTTTGATGGACTTGTTCAGATTTGGGGGTCATCAGGAAACCTCATACACCGATTTGATGGTCCAGGAGGAGGCATTGAGGTATAACCATACAATGCTTTAATTAATAAAATACTTTACATACTTGTTATAAGCCTTGTAACAATGGGTTATATTACTTCTCAGTGGGTCAGATGGCATCCAAGAGGGCATCTTATTTTGGCTGGTTCTGAGGATTGCACTGTTTGGATGTGGAATGCAGACACAGGTGCCTATCTCAACATGTATTCAGGTCATGGAGCTTCTGTGACTTGTGGTGATTTTACCCCCGATGGTACTAACTTCCCTTAGTATCCCTCTTAGTTTTTTTTTTTCTATCCTATTTCTTTAGAGGAAACTTCAATGAGCATTCTTTTTACTTGTTTGCTTTTCTGGTCCTTAAGGCAAAACAATCTGTACTGGATCTGATGATGCATCCTTGAGAATATGGAATCCAAAAAGTGGTGAAAATGTTCATGTTGTAAAAGGTATGTGTTTGTCATGCAGTTTGAGTTTCTCTTTATTTCTTTCTTTTTTGGTACATTTGATCATAGGCTATACAGAAGGTATAGTCCTCTCCTTTCCCAAATCCCTTCCCATTAGCCCCAAGGTTCTAACCCTAGACCTCCAATTAGATGTCTCAAGCTCTAATTGTTGGGACATTCCCCAAGGGGATGTTTAAGATTTTCATATGATCCTTTTGTATTTCATTTTTCAATAGTGAATGAAGTTTGAATTTTGAACTGAAGAAATCAAAGAATAAAGATTGAAAAAAAAAAAATATTGCATGGATTAAAACTGTAGATGTAAAACTTACCTTAGCATGAAGAAACATTCTCAATACAGAACCTTGAACATGAGAATGGCATGAACCTTGACCTTTCTACTTACTTGTGACTAGTTGACTGGTTAAGGTCTTCACTTCTTAAGTTATCAACAGTTAGCTTTGCTATGATCACTGTAAAACAGAACAACCATTGTCAAGGCAAGCAACTATGCTGAGGGGAACTGGGCTTGACTCTTAGTCACTTATTGAAAGAAATTATCATATTAATTTGCCATACTGTTCTTCATTTCTTTGCAGTTTCCAATAATGAATCTTTTTCTCTAATAGGTCATCCGTATCATACTGAAGGGCTAACATGCTTGGCCATAAGTTCTGATTCAACTCTTGCTCTTACTGGCTCGAAGGATGGTTCTGTCCACATTGTGAATATCTCAACAGGGAAGGTTTGACTTCTTGCTTTCCTCTTCTTATTTCCTTTAATCTTAATCTGTGTCCTATCATTGTAGATAATGCTTTAATTAGGAAATAGCCTACCTTATAGGATATATTTGGCATTGTTCTAATATTTGTGAACTATAAAAAATTTGTGTATTATCCTTATGTTTGTATCAATGTAAAATATATATTTTAAGTTATATACTTCTTTTCTTTTAACATATCTCAGTTTTCATACTTGAGGCCCTAGCTTACATGTCTAATAACCTTTAAACTCCTAGACTATATAAGGTTATGTCCAGAAACAAGAATTTAAATTGTGGAGCATGCATTTCAGGTGACAATTTATGCTGCATCTAAGTACACAGATTATGCATGATAGTTGCAAAACCATTTGCATTCTCTGCAAGTGCATAGAATAAATGAAGGAACCTGTATCTACTTCTGATAGACTTGCATGTTGCCGTTAACAGGTTGTTAGTTCATTGGCTTCTCACACAGATTCAGTAGAATGCATTGGGTTTGCACCAAGGTATGTTCAATCATAAACTATCTTTGTCTTCCATCTCATATACATAAATTTATTAGGTAATTCGTATCAACAAAAAACTATAAATTCAAAATGTTAAAAATGATAATATGATGCTTAGAGCCTCTAAAAATATAAGCAGTTTGGGGAGGGTAAGAGTGGTCATGAGTTCAAAAGCAAAAAAGACTGATTTTTAGCCTTTTAGGTAAGATTTCATGGGAAAGAAACATGGTTCAAATAATCTAATGCATAATTGATGCTTTGGCATAAGCTAGAAGGATAAGTAGATGTGAACTATAGATAAGTTGTCAGGATGCATATTATGCTTCACCATTGATCCATTTCTCATGCCCAAAAACTTGACTCCATGTAAGAAGAAATCATTCATGCTGATTAAAACTTAGTCCATACGTACAGTACATAAATTTTGATATCACATACAGAAATACACAATCAGAATGCATTTGCTTATGGATTTAATTTGTCTTCATCATAAAACTGTACACAACAGTTCACCTTGGGCTGCAACAGGAGGCATGGATTGTAAGCTTATAGTCTGGGATCTGCAGCACTCAATGCCCCGGTTCATATGTGAACATGAGGTGTGCTAAAGTTGTCTTTTGAATAAAGTTAATACTATTTATGACTTTGATATGTAATGTAATTTATTAGGTCAAAAATTAGTTTGCTTCCAATTAAAGTTCCTTTCTAGAGCATTCGAACTTTGACACAAAAATTTATGTCCCTGGTCTAACAAAAGGATCTTTATTTTGCAGGAGGGAGTTACATGCGTGAGCTGGATTGGTGTATCTAAATACATAGCTACAGGTTCTGTGGATGGGAAAGTACGATTATGGGATAGTCTCTCCGGAGAATGTGTTGAGACCTTCAGGGGACACTCTGATGCCATCCAATCTCTGTCAGTTTCTGCTTCTCAAGATTATCTTGTTTCAGCTTCACTTGATGGAACTGCCCGAGTGTTTGAAATTGAGAAGTTCAGATGACAAAAATAAGACCCCGAGAAGCCATATGGGATTGCAGAGTAATAAACTTATTCATCATGCCTACCCTATTCATATTGCCATTTCTCCATCCCAAGTAGTCAAATATACAGTACTATGGAAACATTGTTGTATAACAGCTGATCATAAATTTTTTGAGTGGTTTGCATTAGTGGACAATTGTCTTAACCTCTATTAAAGGGTATCTGAACCTAAGGATTCGTTTATTTGAAGATTCATACATCCTAGAAAGCACCAATAATGTTCTTGGCAATTCAACATGAGAAGAAATGAACTGGTATGCTACATTATATTTTGAGAAGCATTCCCACATATCCAAAAACTTGACACATTAGCCGTTAAGGAAACAAAACACCTTATTACTCCTCTACTGCCGTTCAAGATTTTTAAATGCACCTTTTTGATACGTTTATCAACAAAGGGTGCGTTCGATATTGCAGTTAGAAATTTTTTCGTGTAATTATATAGTATTTTTAAATATGTGTGTATTTTATAATTTTTTCTTAAACTGCTTTTTCTAAAAGTTGTAGAAAATCACAATAACTTTACAGTAATTTTATATATAAAACTAAAAATCTCATTTTTGAAGTTTTTTTTATTGTAGTTTTTACAGAGAACATTTAATATATAATATCATTACAAAATTACCTATTAAAATTTAATTTCATATAATTTAATTATATCATAATTTATAATATTTTAATAATAAAAACAAATTTAAAAAACTGAAATTATTAAAAAATAAGAAATATTATATATTTTAATAACTATATATCTTACAATATTTTTTAAATTTTAATTTAATAATTAATAAAATCCATCATATTTCATTTATAATATTTTAAAAAAATAAATAATTAAATATCAAAATAACTTTTAAAAATAATTAAATTTTAATTAATAAAATCCATCATATTTCATTT